AGAGAGGACTGGAAGGACAGGTATTAGGCAGGGAGGGTGGCATAAGCCAAAGGACAGAGGTAAAAAAACCTACACAGCATAAGGATAGGTTGGAGGAGACAGCCCAGTAGGCCTCAAAGTAGAATGAAGTACGATTGTGGAGGACCCTGCATAGCAAGTCAGGTTAAGGAAATGGAATTTTTTTTTAAGTCAGTGGTTCTCAATCTTTATCCACTACCTTTATGACAAATGATTTGTTATTCATTCCAGTGACTATATCCAGACTTCTGGGGTGTCATCAACATTTTATAAAGAAGTCTTGCAACATTCTGTCTCACCATGGTTATTAACAGAGCAACCAGAAAGGCTGCTCACTATCAACCTGGCAAACAGGTTATGTGCAATTTCTAGAATATGACATATAATTCCTTCGAACCCTTTTTCTTTCATGTACTATTTTTGGTAGAGAAAAGCAAGTTATATCATCTACAAACCTAAGTGTGTTAACTATTACTGAGTTAGCTATGAAACACTTAACCAACCTAGGTGTTGCTTTTGAAAAAAATTATTTAAGCAGAGTATGAGATAGTAAGCTTGAAGTAAGATGTTGAAGTAATTATTGCTTTAGGAAGATTCACTTGGAAGGATGGACTAATAGAAGAAAAAGACATTAAAGAAAACAATCAAGAGGCTCCTTTAACCATCGAGGCATGAAGGGGAACTGACAATAATTCAGGCTGTGGAAACAAAGCCAAAATGGAAATTGTTTGGACTTCGTCAGTGGACTAGATACAAGGCTATGAAGTAGAAAGTATTAAAGGTAATCATAAGAATGTAGGATATAAATCGAGTAGATGGGAACATTGTATGAATCAAAGATATAGAGAAACTGGGGAATAAATATGGGTTTCAAACTGAGGAAAAGACAAGTTTGATTTCAGCAATATTCAATGTGAAGTCACAAGAGGTCATTTAAGGAGAAGAGCCAATCTGTCCTCATAGGATTGGATTTGGGAAAAGATTAGTGTGAAAGATACAGATCTGAACACAAAACGCACAGTTATGATAGCTGAAAATCTTTTAGGAAGAAGTATAAAAAAAGAGACAAGGGTCAAGGGCTTGGGACTAATCTTGAAATTTAAGTCTCTCCAATCTTCAGCAACAGTTATTGACTATAGCATTGTTTCATAATAGCAAAAACACTAGAAGTAAACAACGATCTATTCAATAAGAGACTGGCAAATAAACTGCTGAAAATCTATACAAAGAATGCAGATTTCTCCATACTTAACACAAAAAAGATCTCCAAAGTTCTTGCTGTTTTAGAAAAAAGAGGGGTTCAGCTCTAACGTATTTCCTTTTGGGGGAGGAAATGTATTATTGTGTGTGTGAGAGGATATTGTTTTTTCTTACATATGCACAAAGAAAGTTTAGAAGAATATATTTGAAACTAGTAACAGTGGCTGCCTGGGGAGAAGGGGAACCTGGGCAAATGAAGGAGAGGAGTAAGAAAACTCATCCCTAGATATTTTTTTTTATATAGTTTCTTATTTCTCAGCCATGAGAATGTTATTACTTGTTCAAAATAATTTTTAAAACTCCTAACAAAAATCTACTTAACTGATCTTCATATCAAAAGTAACATCGTCAAACAGAGTAAAATAGTGAACCTGCATCACTGTCACAGCTCCGTAAGTCACAGCTGTCCAATAGATAGAGCCAACCATTATTCCTGCTGCAGCAAATGGACAGGCTTTTGAGATCAGTCTGTCTGCAAGATCCAAGACGTAAACAACTGGACCTACAATACAAAGAAAATGAGTTAAAATTTTAACAAAAGACAGATTAAAAAAAAAACTCGTTGAATATTTTTCACAGATCTAAAATATTTTTAAGAAGTTGGATGTTTTCATGCTTCAGGAATAACTGTTGTAATGGAAATCTAGATTTGAACCGATTGAGAATTGCTCAGTCATTTGCATCAATAGCTAAGCTTTACTTCCTAAATTCTAGGAAAGAGCCTCTTCAAATTTTTATCTTTATCAGTAAATCCTCAAACACAGCTGCTTTATAAAAAGGAAAATAGTTCTTACTTTTCTCTCTTAATCACACTGGCTACTGCAGAATGTCATGGCCATTTCAGCTTGCTCTTCCCCAAAATTCCTGGTCACAATGAGATTCTCTAGTACTTGGTAAGAGTATCACTTCTTTGACTTCACTCATTACTTCCTTGTTAGTGTGTGAAGGTAAGCAAGGCCATTTTTTTGTAGTTACACTAAGTCAGTCTATCTTACTTTGATTTTTGATATGCTATACTTAGTTGAGCATTATTCTCTAACAAACTTCTTTCAGTGATCATGCCAGTTTTTATGTCATTCTAACAGCTGTATGTACCAATTAAGCCTCTATTATTATGTGCTTACTAAGTGAAATTTGGTTACTACCCCCCTCTGGTAGTTATTTGGAACAGCTACATGTGGAGGAATTCTAATAAATGCCATTAAGCTCAATATAATTTAGCTCCAAACTTTTTCAGACTAGTGGAAAGGTCTCAGGCCTGAATTAGAGCATGCCCTAAAGAACTGAATATTTAAGTTTAACTAAAGGAACATGAAAGTTTGACTTAGTAATCATCATATTTGTTGAATGCCCTCTACATACAATTACTTAAGATATTTTCTTAAAATGTTTAAGAATTATTACCTACCTCTGGGGGCTTACAATCTACAGGAGGATACTGTAAACAAAACCAATTTATTTCCATTGTACAAAAAATTAACATATCAATATATGATAAAATCATTAAAAGAACAAGCATCCATCTATGGAGCCCTGGTCAGTACTTCCCCCCGATTGCCAGAGGCAGTAATATCACTAGTCACTGTATAAAGAGACCACACTGTGAAGAAGGAAGAACATTAGGAGAGACATCAAAGAGACCTGTGATTTAAATTTAGCATATTTACTTACTACTGGTAAAATTTAACTTACATAATAACATTTAAAATTATGACAAGGTATCTTTTGGGACCAAAGAGATAAAGTAAGCCTAGCTCAGCGCATACTGACTCCACACTGCCTAGTAACACTCAGCAATTCTTGAGTACTTCCATGATAGCAGGTGTTGTGCCACACATTATATGCACCATTATTTAATCTCATAATGTAGGGTTTAATCCTTAAAATACACAAATTGGTTGGGTTAAGTTTGTAACTCCCTCAGAAGGCACAATAAAAAGGATTTCAGTGAGTCACCAAAGATCCCTCAAATGCTGGTACTAAAAGTTAAAGACCATAGTTATATATAAAACCTCAAAACTTCAGCTTTCATATTCTCTACTGATAATTCTTTAATCAGAAAATTGAAGCCACAAGAAACTACAGACTCTTTACAGTGCATGTATCCACCTACCAACACCACACTACCTGAAGTCAGTCCCTTCACTTACATACCAGATCCCACCCCCTCACCAACTCAGAGTTACAGCACCTCTACTCTCCTACATCATTTCCCCCCTACCCTCTACTGGATTATTTCCATCAAATAAGCATGTCATTATTTCTTCTATCTTAAAAAAACAAACAAAAACTCTTTTCATGATCCTTCTTCTTTCACTGTTCCATTTCTTTGTGCTCTTTACAACAAAATCATTCAAAAGACTTATCTGTTTTCACCCTCCTTCAATCCTCTCTTGAATCCACTCCACCAAAACTACTCACCAAGTTCACTAACAACCTACACATAGCTAAATCCAGTGGGCTAATCCCAGCCCTTCTCTTATTTGGCCTATCAGCAACATTTGATGTTCCCCGCTTCTTCCCAGTATATGGTTTTTCACTGCATTTCCAGGATATCATCATCTCTTGGTTTTCTTCCCATCTCACCAGTCACTCACTTCTCAGTCTCCTCTGCTGGTTTCTCCTCTTTTTGACCTTAGAGAGGCCCACCTTGTCAACTTCTACCTCATCACACTCCCTTTTTGATTACTCTGCTCTTTTTCTTTTCCCCAAAGCACTTATCACCTAACATATTCTAATTTACTTATTAATTCTATTTTCACCTACTAGAATAGGGGTTGAGAAACTATGACCCATGGGCCAAATCCAGCTGGCTGGCTGTTTTTGTAAACAAAGTTTTATTGGAACATGGCCACATGCAAAGCCTGAAATACAGTTAACCCTTGAACAACATAGGTTTGAACTGCGTGGATCCATTTATATTTTGGATTTTTCAATAGTAAATACTACAGTATCATACAATCCACTGTTGACTGATCCCACGGGTGAAACCGCAGATACGGAGGACCGACTATAAGTTATACGTAGATTTTCAATTGCATAGAGGGTTGGCACCCCTAGTTCCCCATGCAGTTCAAGGGTCAGTTGTATTTACTATTTGTTTTTTTACATGAAAAGTTTGCTGACTTCTGAATTAGAACATAAGCTCCAAAGGGGGAATAACCTTTTTATTTTGCTTATTGATGAATCCCAAAATCCTATCTCTTAAAATTTTTTTTGAATTCTCTTCTGAGGTACTGATTTAAAACCATGATATTAAAATCTCTAGGTCTTCCTTTTTCATTATTCTATATGAAACCCAAGTTATAAGACTATTTTTCTACCCAGTCAGAATCAGAATTTATTAGGAGAGAAGGTATTTTGCATACTTTCAATTTACCTTCTCCCCACCACCTTTTCAAAAGGATGCTTAGAAAGATCTACTGATGGAGTGAATCAATGTAATTCCTAAAAAAAAAAAAAAGTAATAGGTCATTTAAATGAAAACAGTTCCTAAAACGTAATCCATCACAACCAACTTTATTATGAATACGGACAAAATAGAGATGTTTGAATTGTCTGTTGTTTAAAGATCTCAAAAGGTTCCAACCTAATAAGCTCAACTTTCAATTTTCTTCCTCAGTCAATGGGTATGAATTCTTTTTATACAAGTGAAAACAAACAAATCCTCATACTTCCTTCTGGAAATTTTTTATTCATCCCTTGGGTCATATGCAACAGATGTGCTGGATTAAATAAAGAACTGGCTCCGTTTTATAATCCCTAATTCCAGTTTTTCTGACAAAATTCTGTCCAGGCTTTTGTCTTAAGTTTATTTTGCCTAAACCTCTCAAGGCTCTTCCAGATAGAGTAGTCCAAGATTAGTTTAATATTTAAAAGGAAGGATATATGCCTACTGGTAAATATACCATTAGAATTATAAACTGCACCCAGAGGAAGTCTTTCTCAGAAGCAAAGATTACCCAGGCAAGCTATTTGATGAGTAAGTACAATCACTGAAACCCTCTGGATGTCAGTCCCTCATACTTCTCCTATTTTTTCCTATTAGGAAGCTTATCATGTGCTACTATCCCATGATTTGGGGGTCATGAAAGGAAAATAGCAACAGTCACTAGATTCTTCTTATTGTCAGATTACAGGAAATGAGGAAGGCAAATAGTCTAGCCCTTGAAGACCTCAATTCTAATGGGGAGGAAGAAGTATGAATAAATAAGCCTCACAAGTTAAAACTATAAGGGCATAAAAAAGTTTCAGTATTTTAAAAAGACACTTGAATTTTAATGCCTCAGTGGGCTTAATCACTTATGTTTTCAATAGTACTGTATTTACACAATGAGTGGAAATGGAAGCTTTGTGTAAATACAAGTTTTGAAAATTCAGTAATATAAAGGGCACTAGGGAAACCTGCAATTGAAAAGAAACCTATCGTAATTTTTTTTTGCACAATAAAGGTTTTGTGAAGAAGATAACTACACCCTAAAGTTTTGGGTAAATTCAAATATTCACATTTCAGATTTGAATGACATCGAACAGTGAGTTGAGAACTATTAGGGAAACTCCTAATCCACATCCACTGAAAGAGAAGTAATCAGTTTTATCTGGCAAACACTACAAAAGTTGATTTGCTATGGTTGTGATTTAAACTCAAGTCTATGCATGCAAGGTATTAAAAGCACATCTTGGAAGACAAGAAATTAATGACTGAAGGGGCAGGTAATAGTGTTCAAAATCTGCTGGTACTGCTTACAATAATACCAGAATTCCCAGGCCAGGACCTTTCTTGGTGATAGAAAAATATTCTCAAAAACACCTCTGACCAATTTTTGAGAAATAATTTCTGAACGCTGACAGAGTGCTAAAGTTTCAACATAAAACATAATTGAATGCTTCACAAGATAACCTTGTATAAGTTCCCAAGAAGGTAACAGCTCCCATGAACTCCAAGGTTTCTGTTAAGTGGTCAAATTTATAAAAGAGATTTAACAAACAAAACAGACTGGTTGCAGAAGTACTCAAGTTTCCAGGTTTTATTGGTTTGCTTTTGCTTTGCACAGAACCAGCTCTGACCCAGACCCAACTCAAATGCCAACTTGCTAAGCCAAAACATCAACCACACTTTCAGATTCAGAACCATCCAGAATTGCAGATTTTGGAAGCCACCAAGGGTCTAACAATATAGTTCTAAACTTCTTTCCTTGCTCCAAGTCTTCTTTTTATTGCATACTATTTCTGGAATGTCCTGTCCCTACTTTGATTAAGTCTGTATGAAAACCCAACTTCCTAATGAAAATTGATAGTGGCTAATTGCTCTACCCCACCCTGTTCATGTCCCACGAGGCTTCCTTTACATACTGTTGCACAAAATGCACTTACCCCTTTGCTTGTGCATAATGTTAGTACTTTATGTTCTTGTTCAATGTTTGTTCAGTTGTCTCAATATCCTTTATGTTTGTCCATGTCAGCATCATCTTAGATTGAAAACTCCCAGGGGGCAGGGGCCAT